TCAGACAAAAACAAACAAAAAAAGACTAGGGTAATATATTAGTACCAAACCAACATTGCAGGAAATGCTAAATGACTGCTGTAATTAGCTGACAAAATAGAGAGAGAAACATAGGCATAATAAATAAAAATGCCAATAAAAGATACATATCAATAATAACCTTAAATGTAAATTAATTAAATACTCCAATCAAAAGACACAAAGTAACTAAATGGATAAGAAAGCATGCCTCATATATATGTTGTCCTCAGGAGACTTACCTCACAACAAAAAAAAAATCACACAGGTTGAAAGTGAAGAGATGAAAAAAAAAAAAATGTTCCAAGCAAATGGAAATGAAAAAAATAAAAAAAGATAGGGTTGCAATACTCATATCTAATAAAATAGACTTCAAAAGGAAGGCTGAAGGCCATAACAAGAGACAAAGAAGGCCGCTACATAATATTAAAAGGATCAATATAACAGGAGGATATTACCTTGGTAAACACATATGCACCCGATATAGGAGCAATAAAATATATTTTAAAACTTCTGGAGAACTTAAAGGGATAAATCAACAGCAATACAATCATAGCAGGGCACTTCAACACCCCACTGGCATCAATGGATAGATGATCTAGACAAAAGAATTAACAAGGAAAGAGAGACCCTAAATGACGCACTAGATCAAATGAATTTAATAGATATTTACAGAGAATTACACTCCAAAACTGCAGAAATAACATTCTTCTCAAGTGCACATGGGACATTCTCACAGACAGACCACATGTTAGGACACAAACTATGTCTCCACAAGTTCGAGAAGATTGAAATCATAGCAATCATCTTCTCAGTTCACAATGGTGTGAAACTTGAAATTAATTATAATAAAAAAACTAAAAAACATTCCAACACATGGAGGTTAAATAGCATGTTATTAAACAATGAATGGGTTACCAAGGAGATCAAGGAAAAAGTGAAAACTTCCTGGAAACTAATGAAAATGAACACACAGCAACACACAATCTATGGGACATAGCAAAAGCAGTCTTGAGACGGAAGTTCATAGCATTACAGGCCTACCTCAAGAAACAAAAACATTTTTCTAATAGACTATCTAACCCTACAACTTAAAGAACTAGAAAGTGAACAAAAAGAAAAACCCAGAGCAAGTAGAAAGAAATAATTAATAAAAGAGTGGAAATACATGACATAGAAACTGAAAAAACAACTCAAAAGATCAGTGATACCAAGAGCTGGCTCATTGAAAAAATAAACAAGATTGATGAACTTTTAGCCAGACTCAGCAAGAAACAAAGAGAGAGGACCCAAATAAACAATATAAAAAATGAAAGAGGAGAAGTAATAACTGACACCACAGAAATACAAAGGATTGTTAGAAAATACTATGGACAATTATACAATAACAATTGAGCAACCTAGCCAAAATGGACAAATTCCTAGAATCACATAGTCACCCAAAACTGAACTGGGAAGAGTCAGAAAACTTGAACAGTCCAATAACAATTGAGGTCATTGAAACTGTAATCAATAAACTTCCAGCAAACTAAAGCCTGTTTCCAGACAGCTTCACAGGGGAGTTTTACTGAGCATTCAAAGAAGAACTAACACCCATTCTCCTCAAACTATTCCAAAAAATTCAAGAGGAAGGAAGACTTCCAAGCTCTTTTTATGAGGCCATCATAATCCTAATTTCAAAATCAGCTAAAAACATTACAAAGAAAATAAATTACAGGCCAATATCCCTGATGAAGATAGATGCCAAAATTGTCAATAAAACAGTAGCAGATAGGCTCCAGCAATATATTAAAATATTATTCACTATGGCTAAGTGCATTTCAGCCCAGGGATGCAAGGCTGGTACAATATTCACAAATCAATAAATGTGATACACCACAAAAACAAAAGATAAAAATTATATTATTGTATCAATAAATTCTGAAAACGCATTTGACAAAATCCAGCACCCATTTCTGATAAAAATACTCAGCAAAATGGGAATAGAGCAATGATATCTCAACATAATAACAGGCCATATATGAAAAACCTACAGCCAACATCACACTCAATGGGCAAAAACTAAAGGTATTTCCCTTAAGAACAGGAACAAGACAGGGATGCCCACTTTCCCTACTCTTATGTAACATAATACTGGAAGTCTTAGCCACAGCATTTAGATGAGAAGAAAAAAATAAAAGGGATTCAAATTGGAAATGAAGAAGTGAAACTATCTGTATTTGCAGATGACATGATATTGTACATAGAAAACCCTAAAGACTACATAAAAAATCTAGAATTAATAAATGAATTTGACAAAGTAGCAGGGTACAAAATTAACATCCAGAAATCGATGGCATTTGTATACACTAATAAGGAACACTCAAAAAGGGAAACAAAAAATATCACCTCATTGACCATTGCAACAACAACAAAAAATAAGATACCTAGGAATAAACTTAACCAAGGAGGTAAAAGACCTGTTTTCAGAAAACTACAGGACATTGAAAAAATAGAGGAAGATATAAAAAAGTGGAAACATATATCATGTTCATAAACTGAGAGAATATCATTAAAATGTCCATATTACTCTAAGAAATGTACAGATTCATTGCAATCTCTGTTAAAGTACCAATGGCATATTTCACAGAACTAGAACAAATACTCCAAAAGTTTATATGGAACCATAAAAGACCCCAAATAGCCACCGAAATCTTGAAAAAGAAGACCAAAGTGGGAGGGATCACAATATCAGATATGAAGTTATACTGCAAAACCATTGTAATCAAAACAACCGGGTACTGACACAAGAATAGGCATATGGATCAATAGAACAGAGCAGAGAACCCAGAAGTCAACTCAAGACATTATGCACAATTAATATTCGACAAAGGAAGCAAGAGCATACAATGGAGAAAAGACAGTCTCTTTAATGAATGATGATGAGAAAATTGGACAGCTACTGGAAAAAAAAAAAATGGACCACCAAATTATACCATACACAAGAATAAACTCAAAACAAATAAAATACTCAAATGTAACTCATGAAAACATAAAAATTCTAGAACAAAATGTAGGCATATAAATCTCAGACATCACACATAGCAGAATTTGTATCGATACATCGCCTAAGGCAAGAGAAACAATGAAAGAAATTAATAAACGGGACTATATCAAACTAGAAAGCTTCTGCATGGCAAAAGAAACCAACATCAAAATGAAAAGAGAATCCACTCTCTGGGAGAACATATTCTCCAATGATACATTGGATAAGGGGTTACTATCCAAAATATATTGAATACTCATACAACTCAACAAAACAGAGGACAAACAATCCAATTAAAAATGGGCAGAGGTTCTGAATAAACATTTCTCCAAACAGGATATACAAAAGTTCAAGAGACATATGAAAATATTTACACCTCCAATCATCAGAGAGATGTAAATTAAAATGACTATGAAATATTACCTCACACCTGCCAGAATGGCTGCCGCCAACAAATTCTTAAACAGCAAGTGTTGGCAAGGATGTGGAGAAAAGGGTACCCTAGCACACTGCTGGTGGGAATTGAGACTGGTATAGTCTCTATGGAGAGCACTATGGTGTTTCCTCACAAAATTAAACATAGAAAAGCATAACCATGCACATAACAACAACTTTTTCCAACAACCTTGAAATCTATCAAGGCACCCTCCCCCCAGGTGTCTTTGAACTCCTGGTAAAAACCCTTCTTTTATATAAAACAAAATTCTGAGGTAAGATAGTTATACTTAAGCATTGCATTTAGCTCTGAGGTTGCTGTCAAATGAAGTTAAAAGAGAAACATATTGGGTTATAGAGCTCTCAAAATCTAAAAAAGGATACAGATCAGTTAATAAATTATAAGCAAACAATTTTTTAAATGGCAGTGTTTATACAGTTTATGTAAACATTATTTTATAAAGCACAATCAAGTAATATTAAGGGATGTTGCATAATTTGGTGAAACCCATTGAAAATAAGCAATTAGAAGTAGAATATCTATGCTATTCTGACTAGATATTAAATTGGCTACAGTGTATTATTTCCAACCTTTCTGGAAAAGAGGGAATGTACTGTATATGTCTTTCTTTAATGGTAGATTTACCCACCTAAAATTGATTAAAACTGAGATTAATATAATGTATTCTCATGAGCACATACCAGCTGAGCAGCAAGGGAGGCCTAAGGGTATAAAAAATTGAACTTTGATTTAATATATGCTATTAATAGGTCATACTAAGGAAAACTGACATGTAGAGAACAGCAAATAATTACTTTAGGTGTCCACTGCTTCCAACCCAGGCATTTACTTTCTCAAAGGCAGATAAATAACATAATGGTTCTTGTCAGTTATAGGCAGCGGCAGTGTATAGCAGGGATTAAAAACACAGTCTCTGCAATCAGAGACTATTTATCCACCATTTATTATCTGTGAGACTTTGGGCAAAGTAACTGAACTCTAAATTTTCTCATCTATAAAATAAGAATAGTAAAAGTGTCAGTCTCAGCTGTTCCTAGGCTAGACAGGGACCCTGTGGAAGTATTTGTTTTGTGGGGCTCCTCTCTATGTGATAAATTCAAGTCAATTAAAATCAACACATCAGTGTCATTCTAACAATTCAATCTCACACTCTGCTGACATTGGGTCCTAGCCATGGGGCCCCAGGCAAACCCCGTAGGCCTGAGTGCTGGAGCTCCTTGAAGGATCTTGTCAACCCCAAACTGAAAGTTACCATACAGGATTGGAAATATCCCAAAGGCATAGGGCTTGAACAGGACTTCTGCTTTCCCAGGTCTAAGGAAGACACTGGTCTGTCTCATGGAAGCACTGGGAAGATTAAATGAGATGATCTGTGTAAAGCACTTAACATAGTGTCTGCCTCATAGTATGTCCTCAGTACATGTTGGCAATGATTATTGCTCATACCATTATTATCTAAAATGCTCACTGTATCTCATGCCTCATCTGGTTTTCTTTCAGTGGATGGATGCATTGACTGGTCAGTGGATCTCAAGACATACATGGCTTTGGCAGGTGAACCAGTCCGAGTGAAATGTGCCCTTTTCTACAGTTATATTCGCACCAACTATAGCATGGCCCAGAGTACTGGACTCAGGCTAATGTGGTATAAAAACAAAGGTGATTTGGAAGAGCCCATCATCTTTTCAGAGGTTAGGATGAGCAAAGAGGAAGACTCAATATGGTTTCACTCAGCTGAAGCACAAGACAGTGGATTCTATACTTGTGTTTTAAGGTGAGTGCTGAATGAAACTATTGTTCAATACCATAGCTGGTAGTCTTTTGATTGGGGTTTCAGTGTGTGCAGGTGTACCTCACCATATATAGTGTGTATGTTTTTGAAAAGTTGCAATGCATGCAAAGCTTTAGCAAATTCAATTCTAATTTATTGGAACTACATTGCAAAGTCTTATCAAATTTTCATAAAATGGGACTCCCATTTACTGTATGTGCTCATTTAATATGGAAAATTTTGTGATTCGTTTCTTCCCCATCTCCACTCCTGTCCCAGAACCTTATATTAACAGTTGCTTTGCATATAACCAGTTGGTTCAATGGTCTTGATATAAGGCCATGAAAATGACTTTAAGCATCATTTAGGCCAAGGTCTGTCCCTGCTTATTGATGAAAAATAGTTTCAGATGTTGCTGGGAGATCTTTTAGCCAGTGAGTTACTGTTGAGATTCTTCATAGAATTGAAATGTGAGTTTGAATCTACTGTTTCTAAACATTCAACATGGACTCCTGTAAATACATGGACTGAGTTATGAGATACTATACAAGAAAAATTTCACATACAATTCCTGCTTACAAGAAGTTTACAGTGAAAAACAATCTGTTGTATCCTTAGAGATTCCACAATATGCACTTCCTTCCTCCTTCCCTCCAGTTCTAAATATAGGATCTAGAATCTCAGATCGAGTTATTGAAGTAGGTAGCTAAGATGACTTTTAAACTATTTTTCAAGTCTGCCATTTTGGGAGTCTCTGATCTTCCTCAACAGGGACCTGCACTCTATTATTTGATTGGAAACACAGACCCTTCCTATTTTTGTCTCCTGTGGACTTTGTCTGATGCTAAAAGTTATGTCACCTCTTTATCAAAGGCACTTGGAAGCCCCTGGTGAGGCCTCATTGTTCAAAGGGCCAAAAAAACAAGGTGGTGTATAAATAGAGAACCTTCTCACCCTGGCCAGTTTGGCTCAGCAGTTACAGCATCCACCTGCGGTCCAGACAGACCCGGGTTTAGTTCCTGCTAAGGGTGCATACCTTGGTTACAGTTTGTCCCCGGCCCTGGTTGGGTTGTGCGGGTGGCAGCCACTTGATGTGTCCCTTTCACGTAGATGTTTCTCTCTCTTCCTCTCTCTCCCTCCTACTCTGTCTGAACAAAAAATGGAAAAAAATGTCCTCAGGTAAGGATAAAAAATAAATAAATAGAGAACCTTCTTGATACTCTGAGAATCACTTTTGTATTTGTGTGGAGGGAGTGCTGAGGAAGCAAGTAGTGAGTTTGGTCTTTCTTTATGGTGGGCAAAAACTCTAGGAGATTGGCAGAACTAGAAATCATTCTGATAACACCCTTAGCCATAATCAATAATTCACCTACTTGGGCAGCTCTTGGCAAAATTGGTAAGTGGATATAATTCAGCTTCAGTGACTGACATTATATTCTTTAGAGTGGTGCTACTTTTCCCCTGCTTATGCACTGTCCATCTCCCACCCTCATTAAATCCTGCCAATCAAAATAGAACTCTTTCCCACCCCAACTCTATTTGTTTTTTTTGTCTTTTGTTTTCACAAATTTAAAATTTTATTTGCAAAGCATCAGCCCACCATATACAGGTACTATGCTTATAATGAATTATTTAATTAAGTATTGTTTACTTACCATGCCTTGCGTACGTTTCCAGTCTTGCTACCTCTCCTCTCTTCCCTATTCTCCTCTAGCCCCATTCCCCTACTCTGAGCAATGTTAACAATCTAATGTGTATACTTGTATGCACTTTTTCTACTCTTTTAGGTATATGGACATATATACTTGAGTATTTTCTCATTATTTTACAAAATAAAATGGAGAATTACATATTTATCTTAATTTTTCTTTATTAGTAAAAGTACATAGTGGAAATATGAGCATTTACTCATCCTTTTAAGTATATAATATTCGGTATTGCTTAATAGTCTTTGATACCACAGTTTAGAATTTAGGCAGTCATTTTCCATTTCCCTACTGATGTGCATATACTTTGTTTCCAGTTTTCTGTATTTTTTGTTTGTTTGTTTGTTTGTTTTTTGGTTCTTACAAAAATGCTCTAATGAGAAGATGGCGGCAGGCAGGACCAGAGGGAGGGTGAGTGTGTGAGAGTGAGTGAGTGTGGGAGAGAGTGTGAGTGGACGCAATGGTGGGTGACCAAACACTGCAGTGCAGAGATGCGGAACAGAAAGTTCCTATGCTGTGGACAGAAGTAGCCGGCTACCTCCATAAGTGGCACTTCTCCCTGCACCTTGGGGAGGTCCCACCATTTTGGAAGATCCCGGGTCTTCCCTGGGAGGAGGCAGTGGGAGTGGCCAGGGCCAGCAACCTGAGCTCACCAGCATACCTGGCACCATCAGACCAGTGGACACTCTGTGTCAACACAGACTGGTGCACAGTAGTGGAGCTCCTAAGGTGCCAGTCGCAGAAGCCCCAGACAACCCAGAGCCCAGCACCATCCCCCATAGTAGCAGCCCAATCAGAGCCCAGATATACCCCCAGGAACAAAGGCTGGGGAGCAGAAATCCATTCTCAGGCAACAAAAGCACAGACCAGCGGATGAGACCCATCCCCAAAATCTACAGCAAAAGCTGAGCAGCAGTTGAACCCCACGGGGCTGGTCCCCAGCCACCAGATGCAGGACCTGGGGCTCCACAGAGACCTGTGCAGTCCAGCAGCTCATGAGTGTAGTGGGAAGCCAGAGACCTAGAGAGACTGGTGCAATCCAGCTGCCTGCCCGTGGGAACTGCAGGGTGCAGGGCCACCAGAGAGGCCTGTGCCACCCAGCAGGGACAGTGCAATCCAGTTACTCATGGGATCAGTGGGGTGCTGAAGCACCAGAGAAGCCTGTGAGACCCAGCAGGGACTGTGTGATCCAGCTATCCACGGGTCCTATGGGGTGCTGAAGCACCAGAGAGGTTCCTGTGACCTAGCAAGGACTGTGCCATCCAATAACCCACAGGACCTGTGGGGTGCTGAAGCACCAGAGAGGCCTGTGCCACCCAGCATGGACTGTACAATCTAGTTACCCATGGGGCCTGAGGGGTGCTGAAGCACCAGAGACACATGCGCGACCCAACAGGGACTGCACAATCTAGTTACACACAGGGCCTGTGGGGTGCTGAGGCACCAGAGAGGCCTGCACGACCCAGCAGGGACTGTGCCATCCAGTTAACCATGGGAACTGCAGGGTGTTGAAGCACCAGAGAGAACTGTGTGACCCAGCTGCATACAAGTTAGGCTTAGAAGTTGTAAAAAAAAGAGGTGGAGTGAATAGAAGCCACACACATGATCTCCCAGGACCAAACGGGAATTAAAACTAAAATAAAGACGAATTCTCAGAAAAAAGCAACAGAAAAGCAGCAGGACAGGACCATATAACCAGGGACACTGGTAGGATCTGCAGAAGCACGAGAGGGTGTAGAGCTGGGAGCCCACGGACAGCAGCAGTTTTAGCTGTGAGCAGCGCTCTTGGGGAATAAAGACCAAGCCAGTTCCACAGCCCAGAAAGCCAGGACAGAGCACTAAAATAGCCACAGCCACTCACCTGGGGGCTCCTGCAGAGGAGGGCAGACTGGGCTGGAACTCTATGGGGACACTCGGGATTTGGATGGCACTCAGAGGTTTTACTGAGTTGCGGTCACAAAGGACGGTGGCCAGTGTGCTCCTTCCCCTAGCTGTGGGGAAAAGAAGCAGGCCCCCCTCCTCAGAGAGTAAGCCTTTTCCAGGTGAGGCAAAGAAATAAAAGTTGATGTTCATTAACAACCAGCATCTATCCCAACCTCTGTAAATCCTCTTAGGCAGAACACCAGGGCTACATTCTAAGGCCCTGAGTAATGAAGACTACTAGCCACCAGGAAAAAGCTAGAGGATAGCTGAACCTTTCCTGGGCTTGCAAATATACCCAGGGAAAAAAATACTTGACAGTGGTGTTTAACGTGGGCCCACCCAGGCTCATCCAAACCCAGTAGAGGGAGCCACAAACAGCAGAACACCAAAACCCACAGGGAAAATTTTGCACGCTCCAAAACCCACTTAGATAGCTAAAGTGGTAAAACAAAGAAAAAAAAATCCCAAGTAAAAGAACAAGAACGATCTATCAAAGATGAGATCAATGAAATTCAGCTAAGCAAATTATAAGAGGTAGAGTTCAGAGCCATGACCTTGAGGAAGCTCAACAGCATGAGTAAGGGCATCAGCACCATGAGTAAAGATATAGAAATATTGAAAACCAACCAAGTGGAAATGATGAATGATATAGCAGAAATTAAGAACACAATGGAAGGACTAAACAGCAGAGTGCAGGAAGCTGAAGACCAGATCTATAAATTAGAAGACAGGGTAGAAAAAAATCAACCAATCAGAAATCCAAAAGGAAAAAAATGATTAAGAAACAGGAAGACAGCTTAAGAGAACTGTGGGACAACTGGAAGCGTAATAACATTCACATCATTGGAGTCCCCGCAGAGGAAGAAAATTGGCAAGGATTACAGAATATATTTGAAGAAATAGTGACATAAAACTTTCATAACTTGGTGAAGGAAAAAAGCATTCAAGTTCAAGAATCACAGAGAGCCCCAAGTAAGAAGAACCCTAAGAGGCCCACATCAAGACACATAGTAATTAAAATGCCAAAAATTAAAGACAAAGAGAGAATCCTAAAGGTAGCAAGAGATAAGCAACGGGTTACTTACAAAGGAAACCCCATAAGGCTCTCAGCTGACTTCTCAACAGAAACAGTACAAGCCAGAAGGGAGTGGCATGAAGTAATCAAGGTCATGAAAAACAAGGATCTGAATCCAACACTACTCTATCCAGCAAGGCTATCATTAAAAATAGAAGGTCAAATAAAGAGCTTTCCAGACAAAACAAACAAACAAATAAACAAACAAAAAACACTAAGGAAATATATTAACACCAAACCAGCAGTCCAAGATATGTTAAAAGGACACCTGTCATTAGTACTGTAATTAATAGAACAAA